CACCAGAGGTCATTGAAGGCAAAATTTCGCCGATTTCCAGGTCGAATATCGAAAATTTCCAAGAAGCCAACGCATAACTCGGGAACCAATAGAGCTACAGCGCCGCGGAAAAGCGCATTCGATAGCCCTATTAACGCCCTTTCTGAGTAGTTCTCTCAGATTTGACCTAACGTCAATGATTTTGCCCGCAAGGGGCAAAAACTGCAAAAATAGCCGATTTTTTCGGAAACAGTTTTTCGGCAATAACTTTTGACCCAAGCCTTGTACAAGCTTACTTTTACCGGCATCGTGTTCCTCTCGTCAGGACGCATCGAATGAACTATAACTTGACCTTGAAAGGTCAACTTGAAAATTTGACCTCAGGTCAAGGTCATGACCTGACCGGAAAGGGTCATGTTGCATATCAGTCGATCCGTATCGTCGAGCTGAACACATCTAAGGCGTTTTCATCGCTCTAGCATGCCTCTATCAAAAGTTATTTGCGAAAAACTGTTAGATACCATTCGTGACCTAAGATGACCTCAGGGCATAAACAAGGGTCACGGACACCATTTTCTTGTTCAGTGTGTCTAAACCACTTGTAATTCAGTGTTTAGGGAGTGTTTATAATGTCTTTCGTCCAAAAGAGGCGCATTTCAATTTTCTCCCATTGACTTATAATGGGGAGGTCGCAAAATTGACTTGACCTTAGGTCACCGATATCAAAATTCCGAGATATACATTTTATAGATACTGTTACCCTTATCAATCGCTGAAAGTTTCAAAGCGATCGGTCACTCGGTGTAGCTATGACAGACATTGAAACTTTTTATGAGGTTAGGTCACTTCAAGTGACCTGGTGACCTGACCTTGAATGACCTTGGCCTGAAATTTTCACAACATGTGTAGAATTGATGTATGATAAGGTGTACCAAAAACGGCGGCGCGGAGCGCCGCCGTTTTTGAAATATTCGCGAAAAACCACAAGGGGGGGGGTGTTCAAACACCCCCCCCCCCCAGCAAGGCGCGGGTTAAATACGTACGAAAAAGGGTCTCCGAACGCCAAAAAATTGCAGCATCAGTGCTGCAGCATCGTCATCAGGATTATGGATCGTTCAGCGATTCTGACTTGTCCGTCCGTGGCCGAAATAAAAGAGGTCAAAACAGTCGTTGAGATGTCAGATTGAGCAGAAAGATGTCACAGATGTCACGCAAGTGATGCCAGAGCGCACTGATTTATACGTTAAAGACGGCAGGGTGGAGCTTTCCCAGTCATTGACTATGCCCTCTAAGCGAATTTGCAGCAAAGTCTGCGGAAAATTAGTGATGAAAGCGGAACCGGAAGGAGGTGAAATGGCCAAGCGACGTCTTGAAAACATTGTGAAATAGGAGGCTGCCATATCTGGCCTACACTGGTCGCGAGTTTTACAATTGACAGACCTACCATCAATGGTAGTCGGAACCCGTCTCAATGACGAGACAGTAAACGTACTGGCCAACGCACAGACTTATAAAGGTCAATTGGGAAAAAATGCTAGTCAAATTGAAACGCTTTCTTCACAAATACAAGCGTTTTTAATGCAAAGGACATGGTCTAAGGATGGCTTTTGGTTGCCTCTTTGTTTGTAGTAAGCTAAAAGACGCAAATCTGTCAGTAGAAAATAATTCTTACAAACTTTTGTAAAAAGACCGGGATCCCGGAATCCCGCAAAAAAAAACTTTTGGGATCACGGGATCAGGCACCAAGACGTAGAGACTAGAGATGGTGCTGGCCCGTGGCCGCAAAGCCCTCCCGTTCCCAGCTGCCACCCCGGGACATGACGAGCTGATACGCTGGGAGTCGGTCACAATCTCTCAGCTACGTACCTGGTGCTCACCATTAAAGTGACCATTCTAGCTTAGCATTAGTTTTGAGATGAGATGGCCAAATTGTGGTCCCTTGTTTGCCATTACTGGTTTGGGCACTCACAACATCAATAAATGCAACAACGTACCTCAGACTGCAAAACGTGGCAGATTTCGACGAGATCTCGGGCGTGCACTGCACGGGGCCTCCGCTAGTCTTACTCAGGCGTGCAAGGCATGGCCCAGGCGTGCAGGCGTACAAGAATGAATCAGGGCGTACATACATGCCTGGTGAGCTCTCACTCGAAGCTTGCTAATGAAATAAACGCGAAATGTGAGGACAGAGTCTACGCAACTACCGCGCCTTTGTGAGAGCGCTCAGTGCGGTTCATTGTGATTAAATTTGCGAGTGTGATAGATCACTAGTGCGGTCATTGCCTAAAATTCGGCGTTTTCACTGCGACTGGCTGGCATATACGAGAGACGGGCAGAGGAATCTCTGTCGGACGGCGGACCTTGGTTCGGTCGGGTCCCCATCCAACCGCTCAACCCTTAATCGAGATAGAGCCTCGCGGAAAGAAATGAGCGTATTGCTTGTGAAAAAGAGGAAGCAAATACTTAGGTACCGATTTTGAGTTCTTATATCATTGACTGACCTTCCAGGTCATTGGTCAGATCAATGACCTGTCAGGAAAAGCTGGACTTGCTAGATTTTCTTGAAGTGAAGCAGAACCAGATAAGTCTTCTCTAGAATATTTTGGGGTCCTGATTCTGATTTTCACACTAGTTTTGTTTGATAATGCATGTGTGCATTTGGGATAGGCTGGGTGCGGGTCAGTTCAGGTTAACCAGCATTTGTCCCACCAGTTGTTCTTAGCCAGTATTTACCACCAATGATGCCTCTGTCAGTTTATGTACTTAAGTTTATGTACATCTTCTAATGAATGCTTGATTTGCAGAAAACAACTAAAAAAGCATTAAAATAGAAAACTGAAAGAAAACTGAAGTCACCAAGTAGACCTACCAACCAACCAACCCTGAGACAGTGGAGCCAGTCAGGCATATTGGTTCCCCGTCCCCGATATAAGTATGATGATAAGGTAATCTACGAAAGACATTGCTGACAGACTAAGTTCAAATGTATTGCTTGCTGAGATACTTTCAATGCTGTATGGTAAGTGTCACTAAGATGCTCAATATCAGTATTGTTGCACTTGTGCTGGGTACATAAGCTTGAACTTGAAATGCTGCGTGCTAGGGATGCAGACAAAGGGCGGGCACTCATACTTGCCAGGCGGGCACTCCCATCAAACTGGGCACACCTCGGGCGTGCATCTGCCACACTTTGACTTTGCAGTCTGGAACAACTTCATCACTTTTGTGCCAATTCATTAATTTCTTGAAAGTGGCAGGGTAAGAAGCTTAATTCTGACATGAATAAGATTCTAACTTTCAGTGCAAATAATAAAGAAATTTCAGGGAAGTCGTATCATCTATATAAATGATCTGCTGGATGGACTCCAGCCAGGAGGGAAGCTCTTTGCAGACGATGCAAAGATCTTTCGACGCATCAAGTGTCCAGAAGACAGGCAGCGACTGCAAGCAGATCTCGACAAGCTACAGGAGTGGAGCAACAGGTGGCTTCTTAAATTTAATGAGAAGAAATGTACTGTACTGAACATAGGCAAAAGGAATCCCAAATACTCATACAAAATGGGAGGAGCCCAACTGGCACACTCGGAGCAAGAAAAAGACCTTGGGGTACTAATAACCACTGACCTGAAACCTGCCATGCAAGTCGCCAGAGCAGCAGCAGCAGCAAACTCTATGCTAGGCCGTATCAAGAACACCCTAACATGTCTCAGTGAAGAAACCCTCCTGCCGCTATACAAGGCACTTGTAAGACCACGGATGGAATTTGCAATTCAAGCATGGTCCCCCTACCTCAAGAAAGATATCATGAAGCTGGAGAAGGTGCAAAGGAGGGCCACAAAACTTGTCTCATCACTGTCTCATCTGCCATACGAAGAGCGGCTCCAAAGACTTGGCTTAACCACACTGGAAAAGAGAAGAACTAGAGGCGACATGATTCAAACATTCAAAATACTCAAAGGCTTTGACCGAATCAAAACAGACTGTGCATTTCTGGTCCTGGATCATGGACAGCAAGGAACAAGGGGACACAGTATGAAGCTAATTAAGCCAAGACACAGAACACAAAAACGTAACGAGTTCTTCCCATCTAGAGTTGTCGACAAGTGGAACTGCCTGCCTGAAGGCTAAAACTGTCATACAAAGTGAGAATGTCAATCAATTCAAGAAAAGATTCGACAAGTACATGCTAACTAACAATGAGAGGAGGCAACCCTCATGAGCCATCCGCTCCCATGCCTCCTACTCCTATCTCTTCGGTAAGCATCTCTTCAGTAAGCATTCATATACCTACAACACGGAAGCATGATGCCTGCTACACGACTACCGATTTCAATTTCAGTGCAAAATCACTTGCACCAAAGATTGGCATATGAGGGTCTTAAAGTGTCCTACTTATATAACTCAAACTCTCTCAGGAGAGTTGTATGCTTTGCTCCCAGAAAAAAAAAATAATAGGCGATGGTTTCATCTCAAAAGGTGAAATTGAAATAAATTACCAACCTTCCGTTATGTTAAGTGGTAAAACCACGGTTGGGTAAAACAAAACGTTCAGTGTTGGTTCAGTGGGTAAGACGGTAAAACGGGTAAAACAGTTCTATAGCCTTGGGTAAAACGCACTGTTTTACACACAATATGCTGCGCGCCCTATCTCTGCAACAACAACATACACGCACACAATATACGTGGGGTCCGACTTGCAAGTGTTTGTAACAGCTGCGCCATTTTTGCTTCCGTTACATGGATTTATGTAGTTGTTTATTCTTATGTCTTGATTTATCATATTATTTGAAGGCAAGTAAGCAATAAAAATTGTATGCATTGGTTAAATGAACAAAATAAAATATAAAATGCCTAGTTATTACGAAAAGGTCATGGGTAAAGTAAAAATGTTAAGGAACTATATGTAATCGGATGAAGACAGCAGGAACAAAGAGGAAAGAAACTTCCAGATTCCGACCAATCATCTTCCACCGTATGCCTAACGTCATCAAACGTATATATACCACGCAAAGGGCGGAGAGGCACTAGTTTGCGTCGAGAAGAGTGGTGTTGAGTGTCGCGCAAGGCCATATATAGGGTGTCGCGGCGTTTGAGAAATCTTTGAGTTGAGGCGTCATAAGTTGCGGAGGTTAGTATGAATTGGTTTTGGATGAGGATTAGGTTGTTCGCTTAATTTTGCATTAATTTGAGCTTTTAATGCATGCCTGCGTTTAATCTCAACTTTTTTGCCCCTTGTGTGTTTTTCGACTTGGTATGCGGGCGACAGAATGTCATACTGCTTATCCAAGCTCCTAAGTTCATTTCTACTCCACATCTTTTAATCTTGACACTTTTCCAATATCAAGAGGAAATTTGATATCTCAATCTAAGCGAGGCTCTGATATACAAACTGAAAGGGAATTGTTCACTTTCACGATATTTTTTTTTGTATTTCTTATAAAGGAAGCACTGCTCTATAAAATAACATTGAATAATGTTTGACGCGTAAACTTATTGCTTATGCATTGACCAATCACATTGTGTAGTTCAAACCTATGCATGCAGCCTTGGCTATAAGCAGCATGCTGATCGGCTGACGATGACATGGCTGAATCCCTCAGCAAGGCACATATTCCCCTACAGGGCACTCTTTCAGAACGAGAAATGAAATATCTTGCCTTGGCTGATTGTTAGGCCGTATTAGCTCCTGATATGTGCTAGTCTCTGCTCAAGCTATGTTACTGCTATTTCAGTTCAAACCTCCATGTTAAAATGCTGTGCTGAAGGTTTTTAAAGATGTTGTTTTCTTTCGAATTGATAATTCACTTGTAAAAAGCATGTCAAGACTGTTAATTTTCTTTCTACATGATAGCATTGCTAAATCAGATTTGAATGGCAATGGCATGTAAGGGAAGTTGAGGATGGGTAAGAAGTGTCTTAGAATAATAAGTGATTTCAATTTTCAATCAGGTTTTTTATGCATAAATAAAGTCCCCTCCCTAGTTGAGTGCATAAAAGTGCTGCTGGAATTAGATGCTTAGCCGGTGGGGAGAGCCCGGTTTAAGGGCTGGTGCTGGCGGCCACATTTAGCTTTGACGCTAAATGGTGTGCGTGGCAGGGGCCGCACAGCAGGTGGCGAAATACCCCAGCAACTGACGGGTTAATGCCTGTTTCCTTAGATGCTGCCATGACAAAAACGATTTTAATAAAGATTATTTAAGTAAATAATTAAGTATTTTGTTCTGTAATGCACAAGCTTACAACTCTGTATAGTATATGAAATGAGCTCAAAATGTTTTGCTTTTCCAACTTCCAAAATTCATAACCAAAAACCTCAACCTGCATCTGAAGCCTGAAGGTTTGCTATCTTTATAGAATCTACAGCAGCCAGGGGGTGCCGAGCTGGAGTTGGAGCCGGAGCCGGCATATTTTACCCGGAGCCGTGAAACAATATAACTCGGAGCCGGAACTGTAAAAAAGAGGCGAATCCGGCTCCTACTTTTGGAGAGGAAAACATTATTGACCTAGTTCGGTTTGACAACAGTTGAGCTTTGACAGGCAGGCAGTAAAACATGTGGTATTCAAAAGATGAAAATAGCCTTGTTATGCAAATACAGAAGCAGCGTGCACCAATCCCATTGTCAGGGCTGCGGAGTCGATGGATTTTCGGCGACTCCGACTCAGACTCCGGCTTTCAAAAACCGACTCAGACTCCGGTCACAACTGTCGACTCCGACCGACTCCGACTCCGCAACCCTGCCCATTGTCTTTTTTCTTCCGCCCGTATTTAATTGCATAGGGGATGCACAGATTATTGGAGCCGGAGCAGGACCATTTTACTCGGAGCTGGAGCCGACATGGCATTTCACCCGGAGCTGGAGCCTTCTGAAATTTCTACGGCTTTGCATCCCCGACAGCAGTAAATGATATCCATTGATGAGAATGAATTGATAATGGTGCAGAGTAGCTAAACTCTAGATTAGGAAGCAGCCATTTTTTTTTTGTCATCCTGGGTCCCCAGGACAACATATCTAGCATCAATCAACCAGGCTTTGGGGTAATGTGAGTCACTAAAACAATAACAATTCTACACTGTCCTTGCAAGTACTGTGACCCTAATCCAGGTGACCTTTTCCGGCCCAGAATAGGAACGTGACGTATGATAGATCACACCTGCCTATTGAAACCTGTTGCATGTGGCGCAAAGTGTGACAATAATCTTTGATTTTGTTTCAGATGCAGATCTTTGTGAAGACTCTCACTGGCAAGACCATCACACTTGAAGTTGAGCCTTCAGATACAATTGAAAATGTGAAGGCCAAGATCCAGGACAAGGAGGGCATCCCTCCCGATCAGCAGCGTCTGATCTTCGCCGGAAAGCAGCTGGAAGATGGTCGGACCCTCTCGGACTACAACATCCAGAAAGAGTCTACCCTTCACCTGGTTCTCCGGCTGCGTGGTGGTATGCAGATCTTCGTGAAGACGCTGACCGGGAAGACCATCACGCTCGAGGTCGAGCCCTCCGACTCGATCGAGAACGTCAAGGCCAAAATCCAGGACAAGGAGGGCATCCCTCCCGATCAGCAGCGTCTTATCTTCGCCGGAAAGCAGTTGGAAGATGGTCGTACCCTCTCCGACTACAATATTCAGAAGGAATCTACCCTTCACCTGGTTCTCCGGCTACGTGGTGGTATGCAGATCTTCGTGAAGACGCTGACCGGGAAGACCATCACGCTCGAGGTCGAGCCCTCCGACTCGATCGAGAACGTCAAGGCCAAGATCCAGGACAAGGAGGGCATCCCTCCGGATCAGCAGCGTCTGATCTTCGCCGGAAAGCAGCTGGAAGATGGTCGGACTCTCTCGGACTACAACATCCAGAAGGAGTCTACCCTTCACCTGGTTCTCCGGCTGCGTGGTGGTATGCAGATCTTCGTGAAGACGCTGACCGGGAAAACCATCACGCTCGAGGTCGAGCCCTCCGACTCAATCGAGAACGTCAAGGCCAAGATCCAGGACAAGGAGGGCATCCCTCCCGATCAGCAGCGTCTGATCTTCGCCGGAAAGCAGCTGGAGGATGGTCGGACCCTCTCGGACTACAACATCCAGAAGGAGTCTACCCTTCACCTGGTCCTCCGGCTGCGTGGTGGTATGCAGATCTTCGTGAAGACGCTGACTGGCAAGACCATCACACTCGAGGTCGAGCCCTCTGACTCGATCGAGAACGTCAAGGCCAAGATCCAGGACAAGGAGGGCATCCCTCCCGATCAGCAGCGTCTGATCTTCGCCGGAAAGCAGCTGGAGGATGGTCGGACCCTCTCGGACTACAACATCCAGAAGGAGTCTACCCTTCACCTGGTCCTCCGGCTGCGTGGTGGTATGCAGATCTTCGTGAAGACGCTGACTGGCAAGACCATCACACTCGAGGTCGAGCCCTCTGACTCGATCGAGAACGTCAAGGCCAAGATCCAGGACAAGGAGGGCATCCCTCCCGATCAGCAGCGTCTGATCTTCGCCGGAAAGCAGCTGGAGGATGGTCGGACCCTCTCTGACTACAACATCCAGAAGGAGTCTACCCTTCACCTGGTCCTCCGGCTGCGTGGTGGTATGCAGATCTTCGTGAAGACGCTGACCGGGAAGACCATCACGCTCGAGGTCGAGCCCTCCGACTCGATCGAGAACGTCAAGGCCAAGATCCAGGACAAGGAGGGCATCCCTCCCGATCAGCAGCGTCTGATCTTCGCCGGAAAGCAGTTGGAAGATGGTCGGACCCTCTCGGACTACAACATCCAGAAGGAGTCTACCCTTCACCTGGTTCTCCGGCTGCGTGGTGGTATGCAGATCTTCGTGAAGACGCTGACTGGCAAGACCATCACGCTCGAGGTCGAGCCCTCCGACTCGATCGAGAACGTCAAGGCCAAGATCCAGGACAAGGAGGGCATCCCTCCCGATCAGCAGCGTCTGATCTTCGCCGGAAAGCAGTTGGAAGATGGTCGGACCCTCTCGGACTACAACATCCAGAAGGAGTCTACCCTTCACCTGGTTCTCCGGCTGCGTGGTGGTATGCAGATCTTCGTGAAGACCCTGACCGGCAAGACCATTACACTCGAGGTCGAGCCCTCTGACTCGATCGAGAACGTTAAGGCCAAGATCCAGGACAAGGAGGGCATCCCTCCCGATCAGCAGCGTCTGATCTTCGCTGGAAAGCAGCTGGAGGATGGTCGGACCCTCTCGGACTACAACATCCAGAAGGAGTCTACCCTTCACCTGGTTCTCCGGCTACGTGGTGGTATGCAGATCTTCGTGAAGACGCTGACCGGGAAGACCATCACGCTCGAGGTCGAGCCCTCCGACTCGATCGAGAACGTCAAGGCCAAGATCCAGGACAAGGAGGGCATCCCTCCGGATCAGCAGCGTCTGATCTTCGCCGGAAAGCAGCTGGAAGATGGTCGGACGCTCTCGGACTACAACATTCAGAAAGAGTCTACCCTTCACCTGGTTCTCCGGCTGCGTGGTGGTATGCAGATCTTCGTGAAGACGCTGACTGGCAAGACCATCACACTCGAGGTCGAGCCCTCCGACTCGATCGAGAACGTCAAGGCCAAGATCCAGGACAAGGAGGGCATCCCTCCCGATCAGCAGCGTCTGATCTTCGCCGGAAAGCAGCTGGAAGATGGTCGGACCCTCTCGGACTACAACATCCAGAAGGAGTCTACCCTTCACCTGGTTCTCCGGCTGCGTGGTGGTATGCAGATCTTCGTGAAGACGCTGACTGGCAAGACCATCACGCTCGAGGTCGAGCCCTCCGACTCGATCGAGAACGTCAAGGCCAAGATCCAGGACAAGGAGGGCATCCCTCCCGATCAGCAGCGTCTGATCTTCGCCGGAAAGCAGCTGGAGGATGGTCGGACCCTCTCTGACTACAACATCCAGAAGGAGTCTACCCTTCACCTGGTCCTCCGGCTGCGTGGTGGTATGCAGATCTTCGTGAAGACGCTGACCGGGAAGACCATCACGCTCGAGGTCGAGCCCTCTGACTCGATCGAGAACGTCAAGGCCAAGATCCAGGACAAGGAGGGCATCCCTCCCGATCAGCAGCGTCTGATCTTCGCCGGAAAGCAGCTGGAGGATGGTCGGACCCTCTCGGACTACAACATCCAGAAGGAGTCTACCCTTCATCTGGTTCTCCGGCTGCGTGGTGGAATGTGATATGTTTTGTTCTGTGATGCTAAATAAACACATGCTTCTGTAAATGTTTTTATCCGTTTCATGGATATCCGGTACCATACAAATCCATTAAGTTTCGAAATACACACACCAGGTCAAGAGACGTCTTTTAGGGGATGATAAAGGGGCAAGGTAGAGAGCGCGACGCTCACGACTGTTTTCAGATAGTTGTCAGAGTCTGGGCATGAAGATAACGGAGCATGAAGAGAGGGGCTCAGCGAATGCAGCATGAATGGTGCGGGGGGGATTTTCGTGTCATTTTCCGCTGATGCACTCGTGTGGAATGTTAGATTGTTCAACCTCCTGCGACTCTGGCTGTTCTGATGGCTTGAATTATATTGTCTACGGAAATTCGTCGCCATGAATACGGATACAGTATGGTCTACACCATTTTTGACCGAAATGCCCTAAACACAAATGAAATGAAATGAAAGGTCTACACCATATACTGGGTGGGCCACAATCTGCTGCCGTGCAAAGTTGGGTCACGTGACCTTTGCTGACCTATGCAGCAGGGCTGCGGAGTCGATGGATTTTGGGTGACTCCGACTCCGACTCCGACTCCGACTCCGGCTTTCAAAAACCAGCTCCGACTCCGACTCCGACTCCGGGCAGAATTGTCGACTCCGACCGACTCCAACTCCCGACTCCGACTCCGCAGACCTAGCAGGGCTGCGGAGTCGACAGATTTTCGGTGACTCCGACTCCGACTCCGGCTCGGGTTTCTAAAATCGACTCCGACTCCGACTCCGACTCCGGTCACAGCTGTCGACTCCGACCGACTCCGACTCCGACTCCGACTCCGCAGCTCTGCTATGCAGGTCAGACGGGTGAGGTTTTCGACTCTCGTATAGGAACTTTCGCATGATCACAGGGGCGCGGGAACTTCTTTCCGACTGGGGGGGGGGGGGGGCACACCATAATAGAGATTAACCTAGGGTACCCCCAAATCTAGGTTTCTCACCGGTTTTAGGCCACTTATTTTTCACCCCTCGGATTTTTCAACAAAAAAAGAAAACATTTGCAAAAAAAGTGTGGTATTCCGTCTCAAAGCTGTGGGGGCACCGCCCCCACGGCCCCAGAGTTGGGGGGGGGCAAGCTGCCCCCACTGCCCCCCCCCCCGGCTCCCGCGCCTATGCATGATCATCAGGGATCACTGTCTCGCTCGTCTGTCCCCCCCCCCCCTAAGGCGTCCTAGCGTTTTGTACTTCACTGTACCTACACTCTAGCTCTCTCGCATTTCTACATGTACATACATACATAAATACATACATCATCTGGTTAGTCCGGGCCCCGGGGAGAACAAAGACCGGTCGTGCGCCGCGCGCTGGCCGCGTCAAGCGACCGCGCGATCAGCTGGCGCGCGGTAAGGGGAGGTGGGGGGGGGGGGGGCTACCGACCTTGGGTGGCTGCAGATGGCTTCGCTTTCCCAACTCAGTTCTGCGTTGACGCCTGTCTGTGAGCGACTCTGTTCCCATCCGTGCAATGACGCAACATCCACTGTCCATTGTTCAATGTAGCGTAGCATCATCAAACTTGTGTGTGGGGGGGGGGGGGGGGAGGGCGGGGTTAACCCGACCGGGCTTGCAGGTTAAACGGCACCGGAGCCTGGGCCGTTCCCACCACCCTCCCCCCGCGTCATAATCAAAGAATCTGCATCTGCATGGAAACAAAAGCTGTAGCAAACGAAAATCCCTTAGAGTCAATTCTAGAGCATCTAAGGTTTTTGACCTCAGTAAATTTACAAGGTCAGGGGTCAGGTGAAGTTGTTTGCGAAAACAAACTAAAATCCCAACTCGAGGGCTTTGACCTGACCTCTGACCTTAGATCACCAAAATTATGTTTTTATGTAGGTACGTACCTACTAATGAACTACCTACGTCCTACTTACATAGTTCATACGCTAGGCAACCGTGCTCGCAAGTTGCAATTTGTTTTCTGTTTTCTAGCACTCTATTTTGAGCAGCAGTTTGAAATTCACGTCTGAGTCGCTAAGTCAAATTACCGTGCCGTGCACAAATCGACACTGTGACGCCATTGATAAAACAAGGCCTATTATCTACTTCAAAAGATATCAAATTGATCAGGATAAAAGGTAACAAAGGCTTCGTGATTCTAGCTCACAGAGTCCGAGAACTATCCTATCGAAAATATTCGTGAAAGCCGAGAGGGCAAAAAACAAAACGCACGGGCCCGCAAGGGTTAGCTGTAATAAACCTATATACGGGTAGCGACGTTGAACATGAGGTAGGTACTGCACTTGGACGCAATTCCCGAATTCATAATAAGCGAATGAAGCCTTGTCAGACGCTAGACGCTCAATGCGATAGTCATTGCTGTTTGACTTCTTTTCAAATTTACTTGTCTTGGCCAAGAATTGACTTTTTAATTGAATTGAAGCAGTAGCGGCGGAACACCTTCAATTAACCCGCGCCACGTAGGGCTACCGGCGGACCCTACCACCCGTAGGGGGGGGGCGTTTCGCCCCCCCCCCCCTAAGATGGTAGGGGGTCAATAAAATTTGGTCACAATGTAGTTCCCTAAGATCTCGGAACGGGAAATTTACCGGCCGGTTTTCAAAATTCAAAGGGTGTTCGATAGCCCCACTAGGGAACTACATTGTGACCAAATTTTATTGACCTAGGTCAAACCGATGACGTCACAGGTCAGGTCAAAGGTCGGATTTTCACCGTTCATAGGCATTTCAAGAAATGTGTTGTGAAATCGAGTAAATTGGTAAGTTATTGAAAACCATCGATGGTACATTGTTCGTCAAACACATATTTCCCTATATGAGATCACTGATACCAGTTCAGGTCACAGGTCAGGTCAAAGAGGTCAGGTCACTTGGGGTCACAATATGAAAGTGTCGTGTGATACATGTTGTATGGTCCATTTTACATGACAAATGCGATTATGCGGGCCAGGAAGCCTTTGGGGCCAGCTTAGGTCGCGCTTTGGTGAGGGTCAGGTCAAGGTCAGGTCAAATTAGGTCAAATTTCAAAGTTGATATTTTTGCATAAAATGGGTATCGATTCGATGCAGCTCGTCACGGGGAGTCCAATGGTGGTCTTTGTTTTGCCCTACGTAGTCTAGAATTGCCAAAAAATCGAGTTTGAAAATTTGACGTCATCATTTTTGAACAGTTTTTTCGCTATAACTTGGCCAAAAAACGAGATATCGATCTGAAATTTGGTATGTAGATAGAAGATGGTAGGTCCTACTATCACATATATTCCGGATTTTTCGAAACTCAAAAAACTTTTTGAGTTTGTGACTAATATATCCAAAAAAAATTACTTTTTTATTTTGGGGGGTCAAAACTCAGAAATTTCAAAAATCCGAGATAGCAGTTTTGTATCCCTGTCAATTCTACACCTTTTATGTCATGATCATTTTTCTGTAGCTTCAAAGCTGTAGGCCTGACAGCTCTTCTCGCGAAGGTCTTTTTTCGGTCGAAAATGGCAGAACATGACGTCATTCTGACGTCATTTGTGGCCCACCTATCATAGCCTCTGGAAAAATTTTTGGTCACAATGTGTAAAATTGATGCCCGGAGGGGTCCTGAAAGTTTGGTGGCGATATCTCTAGCCGTTTAGGAGATATCGACGGAAAAGGACAGGGAGGGGACCGTTTCGGCCCCCCCCCCCTACGGGGTGCGTGTTAAGGGGGCACTGCCGACTTTTGGTCTCATTCTTTCCATGCAAAGCCCATAGGGCTAATGTTAAAATGCCAAAATCAAAGGGGGGCACGGTGCCCTGGTGCCCTCCCCGTTCCGCCGCCTATGAATTGAAGCAGCCATGTTTTCAATTTCTTTCGACGACCGACGTGAAAAGCTGAAGTCGAGGTCAGGTATTGCTTTGCTGCAATCTCTAATAATACCCGTCCCCGTCTTTTTGTGCTCCCAAACCTGTAATTATAATGTTCACAAACATAAAATCCAAGAAAGATTTAGCATTTCGTATTATGCCCTCTTTGTTTCGTCATCGTCGGACTGCGGTGGGCCGGGCGAGGAGGCTGACTGCTGTGATAGCAGAGGTTCGAGTATGTACACCACACACATCGGTCAGGAGACTGTGGCAGCGATAACACGCGGCTCTGGTACATTCCCGTACTGTCCCGGAGGAAGGCGATAACACTGATAGTGACTGCTGACGCACCGCACGGGACGTGTATGTGACCGCAGAACGCAATATAGGTAAGTGTCGACTGCCACGGGGTTGAGCAACGGAGGGATACATCAATCATACAGTGCACTTGGATGGGCTTGGGGGCACCGGGCAGCCTACCACCAGGAAAAGAACGTTTTTCTAACTTTTACCACATTTATTTGATTTTCGAATGTAAACGTTTATTTCTATCACTCTTCTGCCATTGCCCATTATCTCTAGCTCTTTCTGACTGTCATGTCTTTCTGGCTGTCTATCATAACTCGTGTGTCTGTCCGGTTTCCCTTCTGACTGTTGGTCGTAACTCCTGACTATGTCTACCTACTTTTTCTAGCTTCTTCAACTTTCATTTTAACTGCTATATTCTTCCCTTTGCGATTTCTCTGTACAAATGTTTTTCTCTCTCCCTCCCTCCCTCTCTCTCTCTCTCTCTCTCTCTCTCTCTCTCTCTCTCTCTCTCTCTCTCTCTCTGTCTCTCCCTCTCTCTCTCTCTCTCTCTCTCTCTCTCTCTCTCTCTCTCTCTCTCTCTGTCCTTCCCTCTCACTCTCTCACTATCCATTTTTTCGCCTTCGTTTCGTTAAACGCATCTACCCCATCATATGGATATGATACCTACTTCTGCCATTCCATTTGTAAAAAAATGGGAAAAATTTCTACAGATTATTCATGATAAAAGTGTGAGGCATCAAGCACTTTAGCTTGGAGTGGACTGCTAAATAAGCAATCTGTGTAAGATTGATATACCGTGACACTTAAATCCATTTATGAATATTCACTGACAGTTGACTACATAATGCTGATCCACTCCCCAAAACCTTTCATTTGAATGGAACGGCGCAAAGTTGTTCCGCTTTTCACGCGATTTAGTATGTCCGTTGGTGGGCGTTGGGTCACAAAATGAGACTGTCACTCAGCCCGTGTAATGCGGCA